TATATATATATATATATATATATATATATTAATATATTTTTTCTTCTATTTCTCTTCCGTCGATTTCTCACAAATTTTTTTCACCTCAAAGTTTTGATTTTATATCTAGTTACAGTCAAAGGACCTATTATGGTTTTCGTTGCAATTTAAAAAGAATTATAAACCATTGTAGAGTGAAGAGTGAAGAGCAATGAGTGTTAGGTCCAAAAATTTGAACTCTGTATTCTATGCAGATGCCTATCATCCCATTCAAGCTGGCAGCATCGACGGCACCGATGTTGTTCCTCACGACAACGCTGTTTATCGTGCTCAACTCTGTTCCTCCATTGGCCTCTGTCTGTTTCTTTTTTTCCTTTTTTTATTTTTTTTCCTTTTTCCCTTTTCGAAAATTTCCAATTTTCATTCCATTTTAAGCTTAAAAATTGAATTTTGCAGATGACCCATTTGGTGATCCTAAGGCCACCGGAGACCCTTATTGCACTCTCTTCGTGGCTCGCCTCTCTCGCCTCACCACTGAAGATACTATCCGCAAGGTACAAATTTTTTCTCTATATGGTGCAAATAGGATATGTTAATGTAATATTAGCTTGATTCTATGATAAATTAGAGTATCTAGAAAATTCTTTCATATATATATATATATAAATATTAACTTAGTTAATGTAGGTTTATTTTTTCGGAAGAAGGTAGTCAAGGTACATAAGAATAAGAAGTTAGGTTACTGGTAAATGGATGGGGTTCGATTTTGACCCTTCTTGTCTCTGCATAAACAATGATCAGCAACAGTGTGAAAGGAACATGTAGCTTATACGTTTGGAACCCGATTATATTCCTTGAAGCTTATGAGTTTCTTCCAGGAAAAATGGGAGTTGATATTAAAGTGGCAACTTTGTCAAATTGATGGAGGATATTGACCACTCTCCTGACTCATGTTTATGGCACTGTCATCTCTTTCGCTGCCTCATTTTAAGAGAGCATAATTTACTTGTCTGGTTGCTTATGGAGTGTGTGGCTTCTAACTTTCAGGTTATGAGTAAGTATGGTCGGGTGAAGAACTTACGCCTGGTCAGGGACATTGGTATCAATTTTTTATCTATCTTATTTCTCTACCCTTATTTGATTGTCAGTTTGTATTGGTTATTTCTCTGCCCTGATCTATGTAGATCTATTTTGCATTTCCACATTGTGTGTGATAGGGTTCAAGTTGACGAGAGCTAGGGCTACACTAATATTAACTAAAAGATAAGCTAATTCAGGAAAAATTTTCTCTCCCTTTTCATTCAAACAGAAAATACATATATAGCTCCATAGAAAAGATCTGATGGATGCTAGTCTTGCAAGTATAAGGCTGGAAATTATTCTATTGAAAAAAAACAACTGAAACATCTACTTGGGCCTAACATTTAGATGTAATCTTTCATCCAAATTGGTGGTCTATTGTCTCTTATGGGCCTATCAGTGTGCTTTTGCAAAACATCCAAGTGGGTTTCTGATTGACTATTGAGCATGCAGGATTGCAGGTCAATATGATTGAGCACTTGCTGATTGCTTACTTGTATAATGCTCTGCATTTGATTGTGTTTTATTGTATTTAAGCCATTTTAAGGATTGTGAAACATTCTAGTTCCTCAGGAATCTTGATACTGCTCTTTTTGTATTATTTTACTTCTACAATTTGTTTTCCATGTTATGGAGATAATATGATGCTCGTAAATTTATGCGTACCTTGGAACAATGTTTTTATTATTAAGTTGTTTTATGGTTTGCCCAAGTACTGGAAAAAGATCTTTATCAAGTCTCTGTAAATATTCATTTACCAACAGATGTAGCATTTACCATTGGGTTATTTGTATGGCTTCTTGTATACCCATATTTTTGTGTTAAACCCTTACCAATGGTTTGGCGACTTTATGTGTTTGTTCCCTTGAATGATATGTAAATACTAATTCTTATAGCCATATTATTGTCAAGGTGTGGGATTTAAGTTTTTACATTGGATTTTTTTTTTGGTTGCAGTGACAGGAGCTTCTCGTGGTTATGCTTTTGTTGAATATGAAACTGAAAGGGAGATGCGACGGGCATATATGGTGCTACAACATGTTAAAACTTTGCTTAATTTTTAGCTTAGAAAAGCAAAGCTTTATGACTCAACAAAAATTAAAACCCTATCACGCCTCTTATGCACACAACACACACACACACCAGTCATGTTTTAATAATTGAATTTTGACAAAACTCAGCTGATCTTACAGCCACATGTCTAGTAGCAAATGCAATCATCTGGATTTCAGCTGGCTTGAAATATGTCTTTCTATTAAATGTTAGTGTTATGGAAATTTATTGACTTTTCTCATTTGCAGGAAGCTCATCATTTAATTGTTGATGATTGTGAAATCATAGTGGATTACAACAGACAGCAGTTGATGCCTGGATGGATACCTAGAAGATTAGGTCAGTTCAAGACTTCAACTGAATCATTCTTGAAGTTACATGTCTACTTTGAGGCAGAGCCATCTGATTGCTTTCTGTTCTTTCCTACAGGTGGTGGTCTAAGTGGAAAAAAGGAATCCGGACAACTTCGGTTCGGGGGAAGAGAAAAACCATTTCGTGCACCCCTGTAAATTTCAGCCCATTTATATCTGAAAACTTTATTTTTCCTTTTATGAAATATCTTGTTACCTTTTCCTATTTTTTGATGATGTGCGATAAGATCTGGTTTGTTGAATAAAAATGAATATTGAACCTTAATGCCAATTGGTTGATTATTAGAGTAAGGTTATATTGACCTCCCCTGAAAGTTGTCTCATACTAGTATCATGTGGAAGGGATGTAAAAGGGGGAGTAAAATTATATTGTAGTTTATTTTGTATTTTGTTCTTGAACTAGTTGATCTAAAATGAATAAGTTGATAGTGGTTCAAATTTAAAATAGAAGACAGATAAGAGTGAGAGTAAGACAGAGTCTGGTGACTACACGTGTATTGAAGTTTATGGCTCTGTAAGATGTTTGGTTTCCTAAGTGGTTGTGGTGAACTTTGTGTTGCGAAAAGCTTTCTATATAATCCTCGATTTTTAAAGCTCTGTGAATAGGGATAAATCTTTAGTGCAGTGTGCACAAAAACATGATGTCATTTACTATTTGGGTAGATATTATTGCAGGGTTTAAGAGAGCTGCTTGAATGAGATAAATTGTTTCTATATTGATTCTGTATTCTCTCTACTGTTTGAGTAGGAAACCAATTCCACATGAGGAGCTGAAGAAGCTCGGCATACCACCTCCGCCTGAGGGAAGATACATGTCTCGCTTTCAGGTGGTGTTATTTTAACTTTTGGAGCATATCTGATTTGGATATCTGATTTGTGTTAAATATTTTAAGATATTGAAATGGCAAACAAATTTGCATTTGATCTAGGATTTTTCATACTTCGTAGTGATTCTTGACACGTTACATCTATTTGCTTGTTAATTTGTTTTTGTTTTTGTCAATACATGTACAGGTGCCATCACCTCCTAGAAGAGAAAGGAATCTTTCAGACAGAGAAGAAGAGTCTCATAGTCATAGAAGAAGGGGTTCTAATGATAGGATTAGGAAAGAAGATGCCCCCAGAAGTTCAGTGGACATTGAGGAAGGACACCACAGAAGGAGTTCAAGTCACCGAGATGACCACTCTCACTCTCGTGGAAGGAGCTCGTCGGAGAGGAGTGGTCATTACCATGACAGAAGTTCATCTGAGAAAGAATACAGGCACAGAAATTCTACCGACACTAACAAACATTCTAGGAAGAGAAAAGAAAGAGATGATCGGCGGGAAAAATATAGTCGCCATTCCCCTCATGACAACTAAAAAGCTCTACATCTCATTATTACCCTTTTGATATGCCAATGGTATATATGTATGGGAGAAATGAGAATGGCAAGTGACAATTCTCAAACACTTCTCGTTTAACATGAGATGCATGTATACTATAGTTCAATGATAATCGTGCCTTTTGTTTATATCTTCATAGGGGTGTAGAGTACTCAGTCTTATTCTTACAAGACACGGTTTGCTGTATTAGATTTTTCATAATAGCTTATGTGAAAGTAGAGACCCTGAAAGCTAACATAAACAGACGGGCATTGTAACAAATGTTTCAAAAATCAAAATGATTTAACAGAACATTGAATAAAATAATGTGCAAGTAGTTTAAACTTTCAATACAAGTAAGCATGTTAATGCTTCCTGTTTTTATCAACCATTTCGACGTTTGCACTGAGACACTAGAATTAATATATGTATATTTATTTTTCATCAAACTGAATGTGACTAGGTCTATACCTAGAGGTAAACAAAGAATGTAAAATGCAAGTACGTGGATAAAAAGGACAGATGAAAGTGATTTCTACATCAATTTTATTTAACAATAAAGTGTGTTAGAACAAAATATGTTTTTCTATTGTTTGATAACTAACTATAAAACTAAAGTTTATCTTCAATTAAGTTTCATATTCAAAATCGGGTTGAACAAAATATGTTAGCATTTGTTTTATTATTCAACTTAGTTATATATTTTAGATGGATAAACTTTTTTAAAAATATATTTTGCATTTTACAAGATTCAATTGTTTTTTTTCTTTTATATTTTATTTTGTTATTATAATTACTTATATTTATCGTGCTTATTGTTATAAGTTGAAAACAATCATTATAAAATCAAATCAATGAATTGTTATAGTATTACAATTATATCTATTTTATTATTACTATTAGGATTCAAAAATTTTGTATTTCTATATTTTATTTAATAAGAATATTTTATCTTTTTTTATTTTTTTTATTCAATTTGTTTTACTCACTCGAAGAAAAATAAAAAATGTAAAAATATTAGACTAATCAAATTACTATGAGAATTCTACAACAAGTTTTAAGAGAGAGGATGAGACATTTATTATAGTTTTTAAAATAATATATAATCATAATTGTTTGGTGAAGTGTCTTTAATCTCATCTTATTTGTTTATTTTATATTATTTAACTATTATTAGTATATTATTTAACCATTTTTATTTTCTTTATCATCTTACATGCTTATATCTTCTTTAATTCATTTTAGTATGTTAATTTTTATTTGCAAATACTTTATTTAAATTTTTTCTTCTAATTAAACAAAATAATATCAAGTTTATTTAGGTTATTTCTTATGTATTGGTTGTTTATACATATATGATTATAAATTTTTTTATGTCTTTACTTATAACTAATATTTTAGTATGTGTAATGCACATACATGTTTATTATTGTGATATAATTAAACTTTATAATAAATCATATATAAAAAATATCATATTTGAATATATTTATTATATTTAAAATAAGTATACATAAATATTTGTAAACATATAAATTATATTTTAGATTTATGATAAATAATTTGTATCATAAATTTTTTATTTATTATAAAATAGTTGGAATAAAAATATTAGGAGTGACTTGTAAAAAATTATATCTATTATGAAAATAATAAGCTCATTTTTTCTTTTAACTCAATGTACCTAGTATTATAAAGTATTTTATTTAATTAGGTTTATATGATAATTAGGACATTATTTTTTAAGAATAAATAAATATAGTTCATTAATTATAATAGGGTGTTACATTTATATATATGCCTTTAATTAAAATAAGGTGTTATAATGAGAATAAGCTAAACTTTAAATATGGGTCGACCTAACTTGTTTAAATTCTGACCTAAGGTCAGATTTATATTTTAAAAAGTTATTCATTTAAAAACGTTAGATTTAGACTTATGAAAAAGTTTTTTTAGGCTTTATAGATCAATTTATTCATTTATATTATATAATAAAAAATATAGATATTATATTATTAATAATATAATTAAACAAAAATAATTTAATATAAAAAAAATCAAATTATCAATATTTTTGACATTTTCACTACATTTAAACGTTTTATATTATTTATTAACATGAAATCAAAAAATCGAAAGTAAAAACTCTAAAAGTTGCATCTTTATCTATTTTTTTCTTTGATATTCATAGTTGATTATTTAGAATATTCTAAATGGAATATAGATAATATTTTAAAATATTTTTATAAGATTATTTTTTTTCATTATAGCTTGTGTGAATGTACGATGGTGTACATGAGTGTATGAATTGTCCTTGTTACATTAGTTTTTATTTTTTATTTTTTTTATTTTGAACATTATATTTAATAATAATATAATAAATTATTTTTTTTATCAAATAAAAAAAGACTTGCATATGTATTCAAAATAAATTTGTTGAATTATTTAAAATTAAATTTATTAACCTATTTAACATTATTAATGTAAAATTAATTTATAAATAGGTCATGCTAAACTTTTAAAAAGTCAGACCTATAAAAAGTTTATAATATATAATTAGTCAGACTTAATTTTAATTTTAAATAAGTTATGTCAAACTTTCAAAAACCTATAAAGAATTTACGATAGATAATAAGTTAAACTTAACCTTTAATTTTATAAAACATACTTTACTTGTATATTTAAATTTTAGTCTTACCTAATTTATTTTCATCCTTACTTATAAAAGAGAAAAAGTTTATCACATTATATCTTAAAGAATATTTAGGACATAATTTTTTAATTATTTTTTTACTTTATTGAGAATGGAATGTTAATTTCTACCTTTAATTTGTTATTTAAATATTTATAGGATACATTATTTATTTATTGAAAATACTTTTCTCATGGTGATCAACTTATATTCTTGAATTAAAAATAAAGTTTTTTTCTTATTTAATGCAGTATAAATTTTTGATTCTGAGATACTCTATTTAAATTCATATATAAATTTTTTTTTACATAAATTAAGAAAATTAATATATTTAATTTTTTTACAATTTCACATAAAATATATACTACATTTCTTAAAATATCCTTAATCACACTTTTAATAAATAATGTTCTCATTTATTGTTTTTGAAATATTTTTATATTAAAATTTACTTTTATTTTAATTCAAAAATTTAAATATTTTTATTTATATATAAATTCAAAGAACATAATTATTTATAAATCTTTTTAAAATTATTTATGACCAATCAAATAAATTAATTATAATTTTCATTATATAAAATTTCTATGAACCATGTTTTATAATATGAAAAAATTTACTCTGTATCAAACGTCTCTTTAATTACATTGGACTTTGTGGGAAAATTGAATCGGACTTACCTAGGTTGTTGAGATAATTTAGAAATTCAAAATTTAAAACTCAGGAAAATCTGAAATCCAGGAACACGTAAGAAATGAACGGATACGTTGATTGGAGCATTGACGTGGTTGACTTTATTTACGCGTTGGCCCAACATCCTATCTGGCTACGCAAAATACTAAGTACTTTGTCTTCCTTCTTTCTAAAATTAAATTCCAAATTTGTAAAAAAATTATCTTTTTTTCATACTTTCTCTCTCTCAGTTTTGGATTCCCCCACACCCACCAAACTAAAACGCTTCTTTTTAATCAGAAGATTCAAAACAAAACCCATCACCACCATTCATCAAAGTTTGATCTTTTTCACTTCAATTCGTCATTTTCGTTTCGTTTAAGCACAAAAGCTATGCCGAACTGGGAGCTCAAGAACTGTTGTGACCAAGACCAGAAGGTCTTCATTGCTTGTGTTGCTGCCTTCACCGTTGTAATCCTCGTGGTACACTACTAATCTTTCTTCTTCTCATAAAGGAAAATACATCCTGTTAAGGAATTGTAGTTCTAGGCTCTTTTGGTTGAGAGACAGAGAGAGAATGTTTTAAAATTTAAATTAAAGAGAAAATGAAGCAAATGATCTCAGAGTTGAAGCTTTTGGATGATAAGTAATTTATGATAATTAATATTAATGATTACTTCTCTCTCTCTAATGTAACTACACATATTTGCAGGTAATTAATTGTGCTATTGTAATGCATCCTATAATTTACTTTATTTGATTTCAATGGATTTATAGGATTAAAACAAACCTACTTGATTAATGGCATGAAAGAGATGCTCACAGAAAATAATTATCTTCAAATGTTGCTAAATGAGTAATGAGTAATGAGAAAAGGGATTGTTAATTGTAACACTTGAGAATTTTGAGCAGCACAAATGATGTTTCCATGGAAATTTTTTCTGGCTGGAATTTTTTTTTTAATATATATATATATATATA